GGTTGAAAGCCTCAGTGAGGTGTCAGTGCGGACACAGTCTGATCTGTCACTCGAGCACTGGGGGCAGCCAGACGCCGCTCTTGTCAGCGGTGTCACTGATGGTTATGGTTTTGATGCGTCTGACTCCTGCCACTAAGAAGAGATCTGTAAAACCTGGGCAGTAGTGCTGCTCCTGGCTGTTCGTTTCTATGTTTTCTTCATCAGCATGGTGATCTTTGTCAATTTCGTAGTACTGTATTCTGTAGTGCTTTCTCCCCTCCATTTCCCTTCTTTAGATGCACCTAGTACTTTTGGTTGAGCTCTTACATTCTAACACAATTGATTGCGTTTTCCTTATGTATTGTGATTTTTTCCGTTTGTCAGTAATTTTATCTTATTGAATTAGTGCCTGCAGTAATGGGATACTGTACTGTATGTACTAATACTTATTATCAATATAATACATAATATTGTATAATATATTGATAAATCAGAGGAATGTTGTCGTCCAGGTCATCGCCGACTTGAGTCTCTGAATTGAGCAGGAGAGATTTGACCGACAAATCACTCCGCCGGCGTTCAAATCAAGGCACCAGTCAGCGGGGCTACGTCTTCTACTGGGTTACGGTACCTGTACACCAGTCACCCATCAATGAGCATCGTTCGGATTTCCTTGAGTGTCGGAACTAGGCTTCACTAGCCCACAATTTGTATCCGGCCCGAATTTTTCTACCCATTACTGGACAGCGGTGAAAGAGCAGGCTATTCATTCAACCTTCTCGGTGCTGCGGACACGACTATGTCAACTATCCCTGGTTCAGCAGTGCAGAGCACTGTGGTGTCCTCCTGACACTGACCTAGATCCACTGTATTCGATGTTTGACCAATCAAGTAACACCAAAATCCGTTAGTGCCTCTGTACCAGCCAGCGGTTGTCGCAGCCAAACTCAAACAACGCAGCCATCATTAAATAGCAGCTCTATAAATGGAGAAATCTTCCACACCGCACGGTTGCTCTAGAATAGCTATGCAGAACGTAATTTGCCAGCAGCGTTGCCCAACTTCCACTAATTTTACAGCAGTAGGCTGGGAGTTACAGGGGCGGGGACGCCTGAACCAGTTAGCCTACAGGCACTGTAGCCAAGGCAGAGAGCCTCCCAGCATCACCTCAATCCCCACTTAGCTTTCCCAGCCCAACTGGCCAGCCTAACTGGTTAGGCCACAGCAACCTAACCCATTAGCTCCTGTCGCGTTTATCAAGCGAGAACCAAAACTGCCAACAGAATGCACTCCATTTAACCAACTTGTCACGAAGACTTTAGCAAACTGCCATCGACTTCATAATCACCGCCAGTTGGGCTAGGCACCTCCTCATGCTAGCACTTTTTCTAAAACAACGGATGAATAAGGCAGTTCAAAACCACAGAAGGCTGCTTCAGCAGACCACAAAGGTTGTCTTCCATAGGGCATGTTCACAGGGTGCAGCATCTCTCCTTAGCTTCTAGTGCGCTGGCTGGACGGCCACACAGGCCATCATTCCTGGGTGGACATCCACCAGGGCGCACATCCACCCCAACTTGCTAGCCAATCCCACGGCCAGCCTCCGCTGTCGATAGCCGGGCAGGACAGCGCCACTCCTAGCCATTCGCCTGTCAATCTCCGGGTTAGGTGGCTGGCGTGGGGACACTGTCAGGGCGAACGAGTGGTGAGGCTTCCCTCCCTCCACTAGCAGCAACAAGAGGGGGAAATATTTACAGGGGAGCGTTTTCTCAGGGCATGGGGTAACCTTCCAGCGAGTGTTGCGGCCGACTAGTTGAAGGCCGCGCGTGCACCAACGTCATTCTGGCCGCTGTTGTGCCTTGCTACACGCTCAGTACCTCCGTTGTACCATGCCTTACAGAACTAAAAATGTGGACACGTGCCCTTAACGCTACCTACCGACGGTATCTATGGGCTTTTACAAAAAGACCGTCATCTCCTTCACAACTGCCAGAGGTATACGATGTTTTTTCTTTCAAAAGCGGAGGAAAAATAAGAAAAAAGTCCAAATAGACACTGAGAGTTTTGTGGCTGATGCATCGAGCACTGTATGTGAGATTAGCACGATCGTGTGTGGAGTGCCCACCGGATATGGGTACACAACGGATGAAATGCATAGTTGCGTGCCCTTCTGACTTCATTGAGGAGACAAAGGCGTTGAAGGAGGCTCGCAACCGTTCCTTAAGCTGTGTCAGTCTATCTCTATCTCTCCAGTGACTTGATATTCACTTGCCAGTGACTCATTCCTCGGCGGGGCAGACGCGACCGCCCCTAAAAATAGAGCCCCCCCGTCCAAGTTGAAACACACAGTGGGCCAAGTATCCATAGCCCTTTGCCCATAAAAGCTTTCCACCCCGTAAGAAACCGCACAACTTTCTTTTGCCTCAAACAACGCAAATCCCCATGCCTGAAGTTATTGCCAAATTCTTGAAGGAAGAACTCCACAGAATCACTGACGTATCGAAGGTTGTTGAAAATGTTCGGTCGTTTCTCCAAGGTGTCTAATCCGTCTTGCTAGTTTGTTGATTGCATCTGGGAAGTGCTTTCCGGTGATAGTCGTTGCCGGAGGGAGCTGATTCGCAAAATCGAGTCCACACCCAACGTTGCTATTCCTTTGAGTCCCGTAGCCACACCTGCTTCCATTGCTGAAGATGATCCCGATATACGAGGCGTAACGGTTGACCCAGTCACTCCAGCACCAAACACCGACCAGCCCATTGCGCGATCGTGGTCGAGTGCTCGTGAATACAACGAAGCGGCCGCCGACACGGAAGCCGAGAATATAGTCCAGCGTAAGCGGTGCCGCTCGAAAGATGATATAACGGACATCCGTACCGTAAAGAAGCGTTCACCGCCCCTGCCGCCCACGGCAACTGCCAGCAAGCCAAGGCAGATATCGACGCAAGCGTCCACTGTCGAGACTAGTCGCAGATTCCGAGGTCCTGGCCGGAAACAGAAACGTTCAGCGCCTGATTTTAACGACGAACGATTTAATAATATTCTCGAGCAACTCCGAAGAGAGATTGCGGAGTATACTTTAGCTAATGGTCTCCAGGATGCTTGGAGAGTTGTGCACGCCCTCCGCTGGCCAAACCCGGAGGCTGTAAAACTTGACGAGTCAATCTCAAGGGTTCGGCATCTGCAGTGTCAGATACAGCGCTGTGATATATCGGACGCAAAAGATAACAGCTTGCCAACTCTGTTGACGATCCAGCAACGATTTTATATGGTCCAGTTGATGGCCGAATACCAGAAGGCAGTAGAAGAAAAACACAAAGGAGACAAATTTGGCGCTCTCAAATGGTTTCAGAGGGAAATCT